ATTGAACAAAATCGAGATAATCGATATACTCACATAAATTTTGTATTATTTTTACATCCTTGTCGTTAATTACCGGAACCGGAAATAGATCTTACCAGTGCACGTGCGGATACTTCATATTAAGTTAAAGGAAGTTTTTCTGTTTTAATCTGCTATTGATCACTTATAATTTATAAATACATGCTGAAATTTTTAGTGCAATCAAACTTAAAATCGGGCCACTTATCCTGATCAGAGAAAGTTTATTTACGAATATGGCGTACGTGAAAATAGTTAGGAATGAAAATATTTTTAGTCCCTTACCGGTTAACGGAGAGGACTATAGACCCTCATCCGTCCGTCCGCGAAAATCTTGATACAATTAAAACGAAAAGGTACAAACTTACGTTGAGAGGATAGAGGGTCATATGCACGACTTTTATGGTTGCTATGGATACGGAAAAAGATTAAGACCAATTCAAACTGAACAAATCTGGATCCTGCCATAACTAAAAAAGTAAAAAAAAGATAGGTTTATGATACTCGTTATATTGATAGAGGTTCATATGTTGTATATCATAAAATTTAAATGAATAGTAATGTTGTTTTGTTTTTTTGGCCCGAAAACGGTAAGTTCGTATAGTATATACCGCTTATATAAGGTTATGTATTTACAACTCGCTTTATTATTGATAAAGAAATATAGAAAATACGTGAGTTTATAAAGATTTGAATATTGAGCGCTTTATACTACTTTGGCGCCGTTATATGTCGCAACGGCACTAAATGTCGCACTTGCCACTTTATGTCGCACTATTGTCGCTAACTGTCGCAACCGCAGCTAAATGTCGCAAAATATTTTGGAACACTACCGTTAAATATCGCAATATCTAAATTCATGTTAAACAGCTCGTATTATGAGAATATAAACCTAGAGATTAACTTTCAGAAAATAAATATAAAGATTTGCTGTGTTGTAAAAAGTAATTATTTATGCCAAAGAGCGCTTTAGTGATAAAACACATTTGTATACGTTTTTCATTTACCAACCCAGGCCCCAAGGTTATAAAACATTTTCCTGAGATCAAGCTCGAATCTCAGGATTTTCATTGGTCAATTCACATTCTGTGCCTGTTTCTGACCAATCAAATACATGAGATCTGAGTTTGAGCTTAGACTATTTCTTTATGAAATGATTTTACCAGTATATAGATACATGTATTCCCAGGCTGCACATCCGTGCAGTGATTTTCCTACTTGCATAACAGAATCCGAAAATAGGCCTCTTCCCAAATGAAATTTTCTTTAAAATCATTCAGTTTTCCCAAAAATCTGAACTTAAACCAGCTTTTTTACTTCCCAAATCAGCAATTTTAGCGATAATTTTTCCCAAAATCAAGAGGCTAAGGCCTCTTCCCAATAAAGTAAGAAAAATCACATCCGTGCAGACTGAACCGGCCATGTACTTATCGCTGACTAACTTCAGAAATTTTAGTCTTGATGTGCCCAGATTGATAGAAAGGTCTATAAAAATGGAAGCTTGAAAAGTGAATTTTACAAATTCAGTAGGTAAAATAAGACTTGAAAATATGTATAGTCTTACCAGAGTCAGAATTGTCGGCTGCGCAAGTCTAAACTATTTTGTCTTGCAGCCCATCACATTACCTTTTCTTTTACAAGAAGTATCAGTCGAATATGTTTTTTTTTCGGACAAGACATGTATTAATCATCTAGTTACAAATGCACGAGCTTATGGTAAAATTTTATCTTTGATGACATTTTATTTCAAAACGCCCAAATTACAATATGTGGGATAGCAGCTTTAAAGGAACGTTACCTAATACACCGCTTGGTTTGCGTTACTAATGTTTTATATAGACCGATTCAAGACATATATGTGAAAATTAGCCTCCTTACAAGTTGGGCTTCTAAATAAAAAACGCACGGTATACAAATGTGTTTTATCACTTTGGCATAAATTTTGGTCGTCAATTTATAATACCGACTAAGATGACTTCATTGCTATGTACATCACAGCAAATCCTTTCCTATTCTATAGATTGCTAGGCCCAATATCACCTACAGAGCGTTACAATTGAATAATACAAGTTGTTTAATATGAATTTAGATATTGCGACATTTAACGGTAGTGTTGTGACATTTAACGGTAAGGTAAAATGGTGCGACATTTAACGTCATCATTGCAACATTTAACGGCAAAATACTTTGACACTTTAGCGGCGGTTGCGACATTTAGCGGCAAAAGCTCTGCATTTAGAGTCAAGTGCGACATTTAGCGTCGTTGTGACATATAACTATGCCACAACTACTTCTGCTTGCCATATTACCAAAAAATTAATGAGGTCAAGGTCACGTGGTAACTTAAGGGCGCACTAATATGGAGACAATACACGTCGCAGCCGTCTGTAAGTCTGACATTCCGTCTTTGTATGGAACACTATAGATACTGCCATAATTCAAAAAATACAAAAGCTAGATTTATGATATTTGGTAATAGTTGGTATGTGCATGGAAGGTGATATGGATTGCACGCCATTTTTAGGCTTTTTTCATCCGTCTGTCATACTATCTATCCAAAGAAATCTTGATCCATAACTTAAAAAAAAATATTTTTTAAAAATTAAAAAGGGGAAATGTTAAATTTTTTCTTAAAAAATCTTCCTTTTAAAAAATCTTCTTTTAAAGAACCCAAAGAGCTAGAGCTAAGATATTTAGCATGAAACATGTTCTAATTGGTGTCTACCAAGTTTGTTCAAATAAAAGCCCTGGGGCCAAAATTGGCCCCGCCCCAGGGGGTCATTAATTTTCCCTATATGCATATAGTAAAAAACTTAAAAAATCTTCTTTTAAAGAACCAAAAGAGTTAGAACTAAGATATTTAGCATGAAACATGTTCTAATAAGTGTCTACCAAGTTTGTTCAAATAAAATCCCTGGGGTCAAAATTGGCCCCGCCCCGGGGGGTCATTGATTTTCCCTATATGCATATAGTAAAAACTTAAAAAATCTTCTTTTAAAGAACCAAAAGAGTTAGAGCTAAGATATTTAGCATGAAACATGTTCTAATAAGTGTCTACCAAGTTTGTTCAAATAAAAGCCCTGGGGTCAAACTTGGCCCCGCCCCGGGGGGGTCATTGATTTTCCCTATATGCATATAGTAAAAACTTAAAAAATCTTCTTTTAAAGAACTCAAAGAGCTATGGCTAAGATATTTAGCATCAAACATGTTCTAATAGGTGTCTACCAAGTTTGTTCAAATAAAAGCCCTGGGGTCAAAATTGGCCCCACCCCGGGGGTCATTGATTTTCTTTATATGTGTATAGCAAAAACTTAAAATCTTCTTTGAAAAAACCCAAATAGCTAGAGTTTAGATATTAAGCATGAAACATCTTCTAGTAAGTGTCTAGAAAGTTTGTTCAAATAAAAGCCCTGGGGTCAAAACTGGCCCAGCCCCAGGGGTGTCATTGTTTTTAACTATATGTTTATAGTAAAAACTTAAAAAAAATCTTCTTTTAAAAAGCCCAATGAGCTAAAGCTTAGATGTTTAGCATGAAACATCTTCTTATGGATGTGCAAATAAAAGCCCTTGGGTTAAATTGGCCCTGCAACGTTGGGGGTTGGGGGGGACCAAATTTACAGGTGAGCGACCTCGGGGCCATCATGGCCCTCTTGTTTATTGAGAGCCACGTTCAGTATAACTACTGGTGTTCCTCAGGGTTCAGTGCTAGGTCCTATATAGTTTTTAATCAATATCAATCACCTACCTTTGTTGGAAAAAAACACTGATATTTTTGCTGATGATACCAGCCTTTCAACTTCTGATGTATCCCTAAAGACTCATGATATTTAAAATGCTAACAAATGGTGTGAATTGAATCAAATTATTAATACTACAAAAACAAAGGTCATGCATATTTCCTCAAAACACAGGTAAAATAATATAAATTTGTGCAACTAATCATTATATTTCGAAAAAATTGGGGCAAAAATTTTTTATATATTAAAATTTGAAGAAAAATTATTTTGGGAATACAATAACTCCCAATTTTGGCCCCCAAACCATATTGATAAAGTTCTTTTCCCCAAAGGGAACTCCTTGTTTCCCCTTTTCATCTGGTTTTAAAAAAATAAAATTTTTACATGTAAATTAAAAAAAGTTTTACAATGCATTTTATTTTTTCCACATCGGGGGATTGTTGAATAATTTAAAGGGAAAATGGCTTAAATTTACAGCTTTCCAAAAAATTTAAAATTATTAAGTTTAAAAAGAGAGCTGCAAACTTTTAATTTTAGACAAAAAATTTTGATTTCTCCCTCTGCTGAAAGACCTTTTACAAAGGGGTTTATTTTTATTATTTTTTACTTCCCAAGATAATGAATTTATTTAATAATTTCATTTTATCGCCAGACGTTAATACTGGCAATTTTGAGTTAATCCACTGATTTTCAACTTTACATCCCAAATACTGAACAATTTCGTTTCTGGATCTTGCCACTAGTTCTTGTTGCTGGGTCATATGGGGGTTGCGTTCATTGAACGCCGCCTTTCCTTGTTGATCTTGTTTATCATATTTCATATTGTATTTGGAACGGATTCTATCATTATATCAAGTCTGTTACATCTGTAAATTATTTTAAAACGTTATCACACGCCGGTGTAAGCTCTATTAGTGTCAATTCCTTACTACAAATTAAAAGCTTTGTCTTGTAAAAAAAATGTAAAAAAACATGGATAATAGGAAAATGTAAATTATTCTCGGTAATTGATGAAAATGCAAACAAGTTTGGTAACTTAAAAATCTTCAAAAACTTTGCCATATTAAACAAGATGGCGAAAGTAGATCAACACCAAAGGCCAATCAGTCACACGTACGGGTTGGGGACGGACGGATTTTTTCCGTACTTATCCCTATGTTATAAAAGTGTCTAATGTCTTATGTCAAATGCACATGAATGACCTTGACGGATATCTTTGTCTGTACGTTCTTTACCTCATTTCAGATAAAAGTGAAGGCAGTCGAAAAGCATGAAGTCGTCCAGTTGTCTTTTTTCAGCGATGCTGTGCAGTGTGATCGGTAAGTAAAACGCTGTTTTTTGTTATATACGTGTATTGTGCTAAAATGTATTTTAATAATCAAATCATATAACCGGAAGTGGTTCATAACCAGAAATTGGTAAATTCCACTATTTCCGATGAGTGATACTGGAGCATGTGTACATTAATCTGTTGTCTAGTAAAAGAAATAGGCCATGATGCTTTAATGAATTCATTTCTTATAAAACCAATTAGTTCGTGAGGGAATCTGATAATAGCATCTTGCATTTTTGATAAGCATATTTTGTTGCGAATTATGATGTACATTTTGTATGTTTGATTTTTACATAGAATTTGGCTTTGTATCCCATTTACAACGAAGAGGTGAAAATTCAAAATTGAAAATATCCAGTATGAACCTATAGCAATGGTCATTCGTTTTCTGTTTTACATAGAGTCCTCGTGCAAACAACTATATTTAAATTCTATTTACTTTCATATTATTCTATATGATAGATAGAAATAACTTACATCATATTTTCTGTGCTTGATCATTTTCTATCTTATTAAGATGGAATAATTATGTTCTTTTCTTACTTCGTAGCGATATCAGTCACCAAAGCAGATTGCGGGGATCCACCAAGTATTCCGAATGCTACTAACAACGTAACTGGTACCTCGCCTTACCCACAAGATACCACCATACGCTATGATTGTGAACTCGGATATAATCCAGTGGGAACCAGTCGCTTTTACACTTGCACCGGTACAACATGGACGGACGGAAACTTTCGGTGTGAACAAATTTACTGTTCGCATGTTGAAACACCAGAAAACGGACGATTAGAGAACACGCCAACATACGAAGTTGGTACAACTATTCAATTTGCTTGTAACGAAGGCCATGCCATGTCCGGGCAAAATAAAATGCTATGTCGCATAGATGGTGAGTGGTTGCCTTCAACGCCACCGACATGTACCGCAAGGGATTGTGGGGAATTCGGGTCAATACAAGACGCAGATTTATTCCAGGATAACTCTTATATTGAAAGAAATCACTATGGTAGTGTCGTAGAGGTCACGTGCCTTGATGGGACGACTCTCCTAGGACCATCACAAGTTAAATGTCAAGCTAATGGTGAATGGGGATTGAAGCCAAAATGCGAAGACGTGCAGTGTCCACAATACTCAAATACAGTTTCGCCGTGTATTTCAGAGTTTCACACTTTCGGTGTTTATCTCTTCATTAATTGTAAGGAAAATGTATCTACACATTTTGGACCAAATGCTGCCGAGTGTATATCAGGTCAGTGGGATACCACAGAAATGGGATGCTTATGTGATTGTATAATACCAGAGTTCAACTCTTCCCTTATAACGTTTTCAACTCTAAACAGCCACGGTAACCTGGCCCATGCCACGGCATTGGTATGGACATGTCATACAGGACGGTCCAAATGTTCCTCTGTGAACGTTATTTGTATAGACGGAACGCTCAAAGTAGAAGAAAATGGAATGGCCATAGCAAATTTTAGTAGCCCAATCGAAGTAGATGAGCTCATTTCAACATTGTGTATCATACCGACAACAGTGACGTCAACAACAATGTCTACATCAACAACAATGTCTACGCCAACAACAATGCCTACGCCATTAACGCCAACGCCTTCAAGCATGTCTACTTCATCAATTACAAAAGGCAGTACTTCGTATACATCAGACGACGAATTGACTAATACCACAATAAAATTTTCTGAGGGAAAACTTAATTCAGGAGCAATGTGTCTTGGATATGCTCAGTGTTTAAATATTTTATATTTCATTTCATATTTGTTGCTAAAATGCTGGTAAGAAAGTATTATTCTTATCTGACAAGTACAAAATATGACTGAATCACCACATCTTTACCTCGTTCTTTACGTATAAAGAGCCGCAATTTATTTGTGCATATGTTGACAACAGTTTGGAAATTTAAATGTACTCAGTGTCTTATGCTAGCTTCAATAATTCAAGTTTATTCAGTTTACATTTTTCATAAATACTTGTAAATTTTTCATTAAATATATTGAATTTTGACGCGCTCTTTTTTAGAACTTGTAAGAATATCTTTCAGTACAGTCGTCCAAATGCGAGTGATTGAGCACGGAATAGGCCAAGCGGTTTACGCGCCGCACTAGTGGTCTAAGGATTGCTGGTCGGGTGGGTTCAAACACCGTCAGGGGCCAAATAATTGTTTCTTTGAGCTACAGCTAACTTTCTTCCAGAGTTTAAAAAATGATTACATCTTTAAAATCCAATTGAATTATTTCATTGGTCCTCTTTAGCCATATGGGCTTTTTATAAGTTTCTAGGGTTAAACATTATTTTTTTAAGTGATTTTGAATTTTTGGGCCTACAGACAATGTGCATGTCCCATTATCAAGGAAGGGAAGTAACTGTCAATATATTTGTTATATAGCAGTTTCGTTAAATTGACATTATGTTGATTTTTTCGCTGTCAAGTTTAATTGAATTAGTTAAATGTTTCAAGAAATTGACAAATATAATGGTGACTGACCAATAACTGATAATGAAACTTGTTTAAGATAAAGCGTAAAAAGTACCTCAATTATAAAAAGACTGTCCCACTCTTTTTTATGTTGAATAACTGATACATTCTAACAAAATATATAGAAACATTCGTGGATCACAAGGGTTATAAAATCGACTTGCATACATATTAAGTATCATTCAGGAAATGACTTATTCAAAATCTATAGGTCACGTTTTGGCATGTAACAACGTTTAAGGACAAAGGGGGGGGGGGCAGGGTTCGTACTCTCAGTGCCTGAAAGGGCGGATAGACCCTCATTAAGCATAGAATACATACGCAATCATCTGGATTATTGATTATTTTCCCATAGTAAAATACAAAATATAATACAATTAAGGCAAAATGCTAACCTATTTTTAATTTTAGCTGTGTACTCATCAATGAGACTTGTATGGACATAATGCCACTTTAAATGCCCATTATGCCCCAGAAATACTATCATATTTATTTCTCAAAACTTCCGTTTTGTATCTTGTTACAGTTCCCGGTAATACTCATTTGAGCCGCGTCACGACAAAACCAACATAGTGCGTTTGCGACCAGCATGGATCCAGACCAGCCTGCGCTTCCGCGCAGTCTGATCAGAATCCATGCTGTTCGCTTACAAACCGTATAACAAGTAGAGAAACTGATAGCGAACAGGATGGATCCTGATCAGACTGCTCGGATGCGCAGGCTGGTCTGGATCCATGCTGGTCGCAAACCCATTTTGTTGGTTTTGTCGTGACGCGGCTCATTTGTTATTTAAATGAACTATCTGCTGCTTCTTTTGGTCTGTTGGGAATTAGTATATTTAGAGTAATAAAGTATTTTGTACGGAGGTCAAAATACTACTTTGTTTAATATTAGCTACCTTAACCACACATGACTGCTTATTCAGCGCGACTTTCTTCTGTTGTCAAACATCTAGTAACATACTCTAATTTCAATTATTAATATCTTATTAAATAAACACATGTTTGACATTTCTAAAAGATAAAAAGAAGTGATATTTCTGTGCTTTGAACTATAAAGCGTTGGATCAGAATGTATAAAACATTATTTCAATTCATTTTTAGTACAGTCGCAACTTTTCGGCCCTTTCCGTCAATCTTAGGATAAACATCGTCGGGATATTCCTAATGCTCTTATTATCCATTCGCCATCTTGGGCGCCATTTTGAATATTTCATTCCGCCCATTATGTCTCATCAAACGGATGATATGATATCATCATAATATAAAAGAAATCCTATTTTTTAAAGCTTCTTTTCTATCATATTTACTTACGTATTTAGGCAGGAGAGGAAGTGAGTGGGACGAGATTGGAGGAAAAGAAGAAAAACGAAAAAAAAAAAAAATTAATGCAAATTTTTAAGTCTCTCTTTTACGTGACGATTTTTGAGCAACCAACAAAGTGCGTTTGCGACAAGCATGGATCCAGACCAGCCTGCGCACCCGCGCAGTCTGATCAGGATCCATGCTGTTCGCTATCAGTTTCTCTACTTGTAATAGAGTTTGTTACCGAAGAGCATGGATACTGATCAGACTGCGCGGATGCGCAGGCTGGTCTGGATCCATGCTGGTCGCAAAGGCATTACGTTGGTTTTGTCGTGACGCAGCTCATATATACTTTTAATAACCGCCTGACAGCTTGCAACAACATAATACTTTTCAAGTAACGGATATAGAAACTTTATATTTCCATGTAATCTTTGCATCAACACTTTATCATTAGTGCGTAGATACTGCTAAACATAGATAGCGTCCCTTTAACCTGCTAAGTTTGTATAATCAATTTGCCCAGCTTTGAATTTTGTACTGTCCGTTCGAATTTTAACCCTCACAGGGCAGAAAAACGAAGATAATTAGCCTTTGCCTGTATAGAGACAAGCCAGTCTGCACACCTTGGCTTCTATACCGTTTGTACATGGCTGACTGAAATCTCTAAACCTTTGAATGGACTGCTATATATATCATGTATATAGTGGGAAACAAAAGCCCCTGTGTTATAAAGGCTAGTCAGAAAGTGCAAACTGGTCTGGTTCTATACTGGTGGCAAAAGCTAAAACACTGCCAGTTTATGCAGTTAATGTGTTAATTGTAATCAACTGCTTAACATCAAGGAAGTGAGTTGATACATCACATCATCTTACGTCACGTATACAGTATGTTTCTATTTATAATTGCTCATTGACATGTCAATGATTTAAGTATATACGAAAGGAGGATAACAAACTGTTTGAAGTCGAACTTTTTTTCCGATATTAATGACGGATTGGATATATATGTAAAAACACACTGTACTTATTTTTACGGTAAGTGTATTTTTTCTAAATCTATTTTCCTTGGAATTTGCAGTCTCAGTTTCCATATTTATGTTGCTTAAAAAGCCCATGTTGCATATTCGAATCATGTCAAGGACTTAAGATTATTTTATATGGGGAAGTTTTCCAGCTATACATTACAGGAGGTCGATTTTTCCACTCTTGTACTCGCTCTTGCTCGTAATAACATGCTTAGGCTAAGGGTATATCAGGTCTTCTCCATTTCAACTGGAATGTCGTCAAATGACTATAAAATTGTCGGGAAATAAAATTTTAAAAAATCTAGAAAAACATGCTAGATGGTTCTTTTGTTAAAAAAAAAAGGAAGGGCGTTTCAGATTGAAGAGTATCGTTTGATATTACAAAATACAAAATGATTAAATGCCTGCTTTAATGTAAAAAGTTGGGACTAATTTCTTTGCGCGGAGGACATCGACCATGACAAATCCCCTTACCGGCATGGGTTCGAATCCTGCAAGCTTGCCAAGCTGGAAGGTCAACTACTGACATTGAATAACATAATAAATATTAACCGCAATAAATCACAAGGAAAGTATGTCATACAGTATACATATTATGATGAAAATATGATAACTGCCACAGTATAATATTGATAACGGTTACGGTTTTGCGATGGAAGTACTCTGATAAATTAAATGCCACGAATTGTTTTTATAAATCTTATTTGAACAAGAAAAAAGTCGTCAAAATTAATAAAAAAGGGAGTATTTAGTATCAATGTCGATATGTACGTAAGGATTAAACGATGATCGAATATAACCGAAAATTGATCGTTTATATGACCGATCAGCGATAATCGAATACAAAGTTTAATAATCGATTATCGGTAATTTATTTTCTTGCTGTTACTTAAGTGACTCACTGTATTATAACAACACTCTAAATTAAAGCCAGCTTTGGTTGAAACAATAATTTTCATTCAAATGAATATGAAGTATATGTATGTGTTCATCCGTGCTGTTCTACAGAAATTAGAAACTTCGACGGGAGCGATAGCGACAGGAGAATAATTCTAATTTCTGTAGAACAGCTAAGGATGAACACTAACATATTTAGTGTCAAGCTTTATATTGCCCTTGATTACGTCACTACGCGGTACTATGAAGCATAGAAAAATAGAAGGCGACTATGAACGGATTTCAATATAGTATCGACTTTTTTTCTTCTATGAAAATTAACGCACATATTTTTTAAGAAATACAGCGTTTTCATTGGATGACAAATAAAGCTGGACACTAAAGCATATTGGTGACCATGGAGTTAATAGTTGACAGTGACAAGGGAGAGAATCACGCTGTTCGTTACCCAAACAAACAAGACGGCGGATGCAGCCGAAAAGTAAGTTTTTCCTTTTCGTCTCTGAAATTCGAGATGTTCATGTGTAAAGGTATATACATGTATAATAACCTTCACCACAATTTACCGGGCACACAGGATTTTATTTCATGATGTTTCGTCCCGTACTTCTTTTGAAATGCGCGTCACTAGAATCGAAGCGAGATAATTTTCCTCCGGTTTGATCTTGATAACGTACGGCTTCTTTCTTTTACTAATATGTATATTAACTGAAACCACTGACTTAAGAAAGTTGTAGTAGGTCGTCATCTAAGCATCCATGCCCATTCTGGCCAGATTTACTGCTGTAAATATTCATATCGGGGCAGTTTCCGGAAATGATAACGTATGGCGCTCAAAAATATCAATGATAACGTACAGCGCATTTTTCTACTTGGTGGATTTACATTTGTTCAGACAGCTGGTAATGAATTATTTGTATGCAGGAAATGATAGATATCTGAAAACAAATGTTAATACATTCAGAAATAAATAATTGAACAAACCTACCCCATCGGGAATAAATATCTTTCTAGCTGGTGGCATAATATATATTTGTTGTTAATATACTAACCTTTATCTACCAATTAAATCACACATGTATAATTTTGTATAAAATGCAGAATGGAAATAAAGCCTCAACTTTCAGGAAATATTTGGGTATTGTTGTCTTCACATTATATTAACTGTGTTTATTCAATCTGTCGCTCATTGAAAGAAAAAACATAACAGTGAATAATGAATGAGTGTAGGTTCTGTATTGAATATATTGAATAAGTTAAAATAATTTTATGAGAAAAAGTTCAATATATTTAGTAAATAAGAAATTTCATATTTATTTGAGGGACGGTTAATATTGAAATGCTACCATTTAGTGTGACGTTGAGCCACTTTGACGCCAGATATTTGCACAACCTAGCCATATAGGTTTTTTTTATTCTAAATGAAAGGAATGTCATAATTTTCCACAAATGCTGCGAGACAAAAACAATCAATTTCTGTATAGAAAGTATTGTAGGTATCAGTAATAAAAGAGTGACATTGAAATGTGCTATTAATTTCTATAAGTGTCCAACTTTATTTGTCATCCAATGAAAACGCTGTATTTCTTAAAAATTCTGTGCGTTAATTTTCATAGAAGAAAAAAGTCGATACTATAATGAATTCCGTTCATTGCCGCCTTCTATTTCTCATAGTACTTCATAGAACCGCGTAGTGACGTAATAATGTGGATAATAATGAGGACACTACGTATGTTAGTATTCATCCGTAGCTGTTCTACAGAATATAGAAACATTCTACTGTCGCTATCGCTCCCGTCGAAGTTTGTTATTGATAATATTTCGATTATATAATCGATGATTGATCGAAAAGGGTTGTTCGATTACTTTCAATGATCGATTATGACTTTTTGTCCGATCGTATTTCCATAAAGCTGAAAAATATTTGACTTGTCGAGAAATTAAAATGAAAAAAAAAATCGTCATCACATTTTCATTTACAGAAAAATCGATCATAAAACTACTGACCAGAATAGTTAAAAAAATTGTGGACTGATGTAAATTAATTATCTGGTTACAAATCCAACGTTCAAACATATTTTATTGATGGTGATAACTGTGGCAACCAGGCAGATACTGACCTCTTTATCACTGCAAATTTATTCAACACTCAATTGGCAAAATGTACACGAATACCATCATGCCATTAATTAGAATGGTTATAAAATCTAAGCTTGTTGAACTAAATGCATCTTAGCCCTTTCAAAATACATAACCAATTAAAATCGCTAGATATTACAAAGTCATGTGGCTCAGATGGCCTCAGTGCAAGGTTTCTAAAATATCAGCCCACAGGTTTGCTCCCGTACTTACCAATATATCTAACACTAACATTCTTAACAATTCATTTTCAAATATTTTACATAAAAGGGATTCTTAAAGTGACCAAAAAGATTATAGTCTTATTTCCATACTACCCTTAATATCAATTATTATTGAACGTCATGTCAGTTAACATTTAATGCAATACCTTGAGAGAAATCAAATTCTATACCATAACTTTGATCCTTCATGAAATCTCCGTATTAGGTAGCAGAACACAATTACCTTACAGATCCTGTTTATATGTAGAACTACTGGTGTTCGTCAGGGTTCAGTGCCAGATCCTATACTGTTTTTAATCTATATCAATGACCTATTTTTGTCTTTTGAAAAGAAAAACAAACAACAACAAAAAAGACATTGGAATATTTTGCTGATGATACCCTTTCAACTTCTGGTGTATCTCTTAAACAGAGTAGTTGAATCTCTTACACCTGATCTTTTAAATGGTAACAATTGGTGTGATTTGAATCGCATGTCTATAAATACAACCGGAACTTGGTTATTATTCTTGGTTGGAGGCCTCATGGAAGATTTATGTATTGTTCAAATGAGTTCTCTCGTTTAATAAAAGTCGTATTATTATTATTATTTTCATACTATTATTATTATTATTATTATGAAAAGTATTTTAAGCCTGTTGCAAGACGGTAATTCTGTTAAATTTCTTTAGTTCAATTAAGGATCTTTATTTAATTGATTGATAGAATAAGCCTTTTTATTTTTCGAAACTATTAGTTTTCCGAAAACTAAAATAAGCAATTATTGCACGTTATGTTGTATTTTCTTTCGTGTTTGACAATGGAAAATTTACCGATACGGCTATAAGCACGCTGCCAGGTTGTCATGAATTCGTTACGAGAATCAGGAGATGGATCGGAAAACAAATGAGCCGCGTCACGACAAAACCAACATAGTGCGTTTGCGGCCAGCATGGATCAAGACCAGCATGCGCATCCGCGCAGTCTGATCAGGATCCATGCTGTTCGCTATCGGTTTCTCTACTTGTTATAGGGTCTGTAAGCGAACAGCATGGATCCTGATCAGACTGCGCGGATGCGCAGGCTGGTCTGGATCCATGCTGGTCGCAAAACCCATTATGTTGGTTTTGTCATGACGCGGCTCAAATTATTTTCGGAAATGCACCCAAATGTAAACACGTAAAAATCTCTGATAACTTTGCTATATTAAAACAAGATGGCGGAGTTCGATCAACAAGCGCAAATATATCACACCCTAGAGGTGGGTCTGGACGGGTTTTTTTCTTTTTTCAGAGCTGATTATCCCTTTGTTACGTTCTTTTATACTCCATTTCAGATAAAAGTGAAGGTAGTCGTAAAGTATGAAGTCGTCCAGTTGTCTTTTTGCAGCAATGCTGTTCAGCGTGGTCGGTAAGTAATGCGCCGGTTTTTTTTTAGTTTTTATTTTTGGTTTTTTTGTTTGTTATATACGTATAATCATTAATGAGCTAAATCGCATTTTAATTATCAAATTATAGAACCGGAAGCAGTTCATAACCTTATATAGGCTAAATCCCATAATTTCCGTTGAGTGATATCACAGCATTTGTACATTCATCTGCAGTCTTTTAAAAGAAATCGGTCTTGATGCATTACTAAATGCATTTCTTACAAAACCAATTAGTTCGGGGATGTGGAGGGGGACTGATAAAAGCATCTTGTATTTTTCAAATTTTTTCTTGTACATTTTGTAATTGACAAGCATTGACAAAGAATTTGGATTTGCAATACAATAACCCCTCGCATTTACAACGAGAAGGTCCAAATTCAAATTCAGTTTAATTATGTAACATGGTAATGGTGATTCAATTGCTTTTTACATATGGACCTTGTGTAAACAGCAATACTTGAAATATGTTAAATTTCATATTACAGTATTTGGAAGATAAAAACAACCTATATCAAGATTTATTATTTGCTTGGTCACTGTATGTCTTACTAAAATATATTTTTTCTTACCTCATAGCGATATCAGTCACCAAAGCAGATTGCGGGGATCCACCAAGTATTCCGAATGCTACTAACAATATAACTGGTACCTCGCCTTACCCACAAGATACCACCATACGCTATGATTGTGAACTCGGATATAATCCAGTGGGAACCAGTCGCTTTTACACTTGCACTGGTACAACATGGACGGACGGAAACTTCCGGTGTGAACAAATTTATTGTTCGCATGTTGAAACACCGGAAAACGGACGAGTAGAGAACACCCCAACATACGAAGTTGGTACAATTATTCAATTTGCTTGTAACGAAGGCCATGCGATCTCCGGGCAAAACAAAATGCTATGTCGCATAGATGGTGAGTGGTTGCCTTCAACGCCACCGACATGTACCGCAAGGGATTGTGGGGAATTCGGGTCAATACAAGACGCAGATTTATTCCAGGATAGCTCTTTTATTGAAAGAAATCACTATGGTAGTGTCGTAGAGGTCACGTGCCTTGATGGGACGACTCTCCTAGGACCATCACAAGTTAAATGTCAAGCTAATGGTGAATGGGGATTGAGGCCAACATGTGAAGACGTGCAGTGTCCATCATACCCAAATACAGACTCGCCGTGTATTTCAGAGTTACAAACTTTCGGTGTTTATCTCTTTATTAATTGTAAGGAAGATGTAGGTACACATTTTGGACCAAATGCTGCCGAGTGTATATCAGGTCAGTGGGATACCACGGAAATGGGATGCTCATGTGATTGTATACTACCAGACTATAACACTAGTAGTTTATCTCTAAATGGCCTCAACGGTCATGGTAATCTTCCACATGCAACGAAGCTGGATTGGACGTGTCATGGCACTAGCGTCAAATTGTCTTTAAAGCGCGTCAAGTGTTTGGATGGAAACTTTCATATAAAAGATGATCAAGATAATGATATGATATATTCAAATCCATCTGATTTTACTCGCATTATTTTGCCTCAGTTATGTTATTTACCATCATTAGTGTCATCATCATCAGTATCATCTCAACCATCAACAACGACATCAACAACATCAGACATCTGGTCAAAACCAGAAACAAAATCATCACAATCAAAAACACTACATTCTTCCATGTCGACACAAGTAACAGTCTCACCACAATCAATAATGCTGTCATCTACCATTTCATCACCTGTAACAGCCTCATCACAATCAATAACGCCATCATCTACCATTTCATCACCTGTAACAGCCTCATCACAATCAATAACGCCATTATCTACCATTTCATCACCTGTAACAGCCTCATCACAATCAATAACGTCATCATCTACCATGTCAACAACTTTAACAGTCTCGTCACAATCAATAACGCCATCATTTACAATGTCAGCACCTATAACAGCCTCATCACAATCAATAACGTCATCATCTACCATGTCAACACCTATTACAGCCTCGTCACAATCAATAACGCCATCATCTACCATGTCAACACCTGTAACGGCCTCGTCACAATCAATAACACCACAATCTACCATGTCAACATCATTAACAGTCTCATCACACTCAATAACGCCATCATCTACCATGCCAACACCTATAACGGCCTCGTCACAATCAATAACGCCATCATCCATGTCAACACCTGTAACAGTCTCATCACAATCAATTACGCCATCATCTACCATGTTCACATCAGTAACAGTAACATCACTTACTATATCGACACAATCAACAACACTTCCATCTACCATGTCAACACAAGTAACAGTCTCGTCACTTTCAACCAACCCTTTTACAATATCATCTTTATTTACATTACCATCAAAATCAATTTCAACGATGTCATCATTAAAGGAAATATCGTCACGGTCAATATCACCGTATTCGTCAATCTCAATACAAGACACAAAAATGTTAAAAGAAATTACATCATCTTTTTCAATGCCATCGACAGTTACAGTATTGTCAAAATCAGTTACATTCTCGTCTATAATATCATCACAAGTTCCACTAGTATCAAAGATAATATTATCGACTTCTACATCTCTTTTGAGCACGATGACGTCAAAGTTAACCACCGTTCCGGTATATTCTGCTTCATCGTCATTGCCAACCCCGCTTAATGATGCAACAACAACAACAGGTACTTATGGTGTACAAAACAAAACGTTGTACAATGCAAAAGTTACTGAGTCTACGTCACGTGGCCAAATTAATGTAACTGCATCAACAGACAATGAGTCAAAAGATTACATCAATTCAGGCACGATCCATTTTGACTTTTTCCTCGGCTCAAGTATCTGTTGCATTTTTCAGATGTTTCATATTCTTTGGCTGAAACTTTGATTTTGGGAGCCATAAAAACTATGTCATGGTTACATCTCTAGTCGCCACTCACCTCTAAGTATATGCTCGAATCTCCCATGGACAATTAAAGAGACTCCAAAATCTAGCTTGGGTCACATACAGACAAATCAAACAACTTGTCCCTAACCGCTCTGTATTCAAATTCAGTTAGTGACTTTGGATACTTTCTTCTAGCTTACGGAAGGTCAGATGTTATTCTCAGGTGCCTGCTCATGTCAGACTCATAAGTCACAATATTCCACCTGACGTCATCATCCACCAGATAAGCTAGAAGGTCGCCATATCAGACTATATGTCGGAATGACAACACCATACAAAAAATCATATAGCCCCGATTCTTTCATGTACATGGCAACAAATGTATATTCTTTTAACATGATTTAAGCAGTACATGAATTGAGTATGAAATACTCGACAACACATATCACATATTTAGTTAATAACGCATTATAGATCTTTGAGTTTACTATCATTACCATTTCTTTCTATCTTTCATTTGTTCTTTCTTTCTACTCGTCTTTTTATCTTTATACTGTTAAACTAAGATTTCATTTTACATGATATATTTTTATACAAAGGGCGTTGCAGTTTATACATAAACAAATCATTTGTCCATCTTAAATTTCTACTTAAGTAAAGCATGCGGAGTTGTACTCATTCGCACAGCAAAAGGAATTAAAATGTTGCTAAATAATGATCTTAATTTTCGGTTTTGTTTTTAACTGTTACTATGATTAAGCAATAGCTCAAGCTAACTATTAAAATTGGTCAATGATCTGCATGGCGTTTATATTTTGGGTTGTTAACACTTAAGGGGTCATGGTTTTCACGGGATTTTCATTAAACTTTGTCAGAATGATCATACTAATTTTATAATTCATCTTTGATGAGAATTTTTAAATATGGATCAACTTGGGACAAGATCAAATAAAAGAAAAGCATTGAATTTACACTTATCGAACTTTGTCAAAATGTCCCGATGATATACGAGCATGTTTGAATAAGAATTATTTTAGCTCAAAAACTAAGTCACCAGATCAAATAGAAACAAATACAAAAAACTTGCTAACATACAAAAAATCACAATTTTAATTTGATCTCCAAAAAACTTTAGCGAAGTATTTATATTAATTATATATCAAGTGGCATTGAATATGAGTCATCTCGGATCATATTTAGTAAAAGTGTATATCGCCAGGCCACAATGTTGATTGAGTTTCACGAAAACAAGTCAGATTGGAATCCAAAACATTGTTGCCAGGTCAAATTCGAGATAAACTTGTTTACACAATATGGGTCACGATTCTGATACAATGTTTGTTTCAATGATATACAAGTTATGCTTAAAAAATGGTAATCTAGGGTCAAAACAAGCTCTCAAGATTAAATTGTCCCTATTCTAAAGTTTGCAATTTTTACTAGGCCTGCATCGATTTTGGCAGAATGTTTCTCTCAGTGATATGCATAAGTGGGGTTTAAATTTGACATTATTTCGGTCATCTTGGATCAAAAAGTAGGTCATAAGATCAAATCAAAGGAAAGCCATGCAAAACCATGCTATCCCATCGAAAAATCATTGTTTTCTTAGGAATTGACCATTCTTTTCTTCCAGGATGTCTATAGTAAACTTGAATTAGATTCACGTGAGCAAATGAGAGTCACCATAGCCCTCTTGTTTTATAATGGTTTGCAGAACTGATAAGTATATCCATAATTAACTGATGATATGTTGATTGATGTGTTCATCGAAAATAAATGTTACATTATTTTCATTCTTATCCGATAATACATTTGTATAAACGGTATAAAGAAAGACAACTTCTATAAAGCACGTTTAAATGGCATTCGATTAGATGACATTCTTTGCAACTTCGGATAATCATAAATAAGAAGCGAGCGAAAATAAAATAAAAGTTTTTGTAAATACTACATATAACTTGAACTTTTGTCTTATATTAGTGCATTTATTTTTTTCATTGTTTAAAAGAGTCATAAAATATACATGTATCTCTTTAATAAAACGCATACACATGTGCTCATTGACAAATAAACCAGTATCTAATTCAAGATATTTTTACGTGTCTTCTTCATTCATTGGTCTTCAACGCAATGTTCTCCAACCAGAAAATGTTGATGTTGTAGAATCAATACCAAAGGGTGATATACTGATTGACTCTGGTGATTTCTCAGCATTTTCAAGTGGAAATATATTTTGGAAATAAAAGTCGAGATAGGGAAGAAAATATTAGAGAAATAAACTCATTTTTCAAAAAGCTTCCATTCAAACATAAGATTCTAGTGGCTGAAAGTGTTTATCTCCAAGATACGATGATCACTATTGAAGGTTTAAACATGTATGGAACACCAATGACCCGTGCAATGTATGTGGAGATATGGAGATTTGTTTATGGGAGCTTATATCGTCACCTTGTTGCAATCATACCCTTAAACACAGAGTTATGGCCCTTGATAAGTTATGCAGTATGCATATAGAGCAATAATCGTTTCCTCGCTATCACTCTGCATGTACTGGCTGGAATTCAATGAACTTTATTGGAACAAGCATTGCCTTGTTCCGGTCAGACCCTTCAATATAGAGTTATGGTCCTTGATTAGTTGAACAGAAAGCAAATACAGTAATATTGTTATTTCTTTTCAACTGTTGGATTGATTTCAACAATACTTTATGGGAACCATCAATACGAAAAGGTAATTTGCATGCCAAATTTATGTAAATAAAGCCTCATATCACCAGTTGTTGTGTAAGTATTAACCAGTACTCGGCGAGGGATATACGCTCAACGACTTTGCTTGTTTTTAGGATGAAGAAAAAAAACGAAAAAAAAATATGCAATTGTAAGGCCTCTCTTTAACGTGACGATGTATATACTTTTAATAACCGGCTGGCAGCTTGCAACAACATCCGGTTATATGACCATACTTTTCAAGTAACGGATATATTAACTTATTTTTCTATGCAATCTTTGCGTCACCACTTTATCATAAGTGCGTACAATGACAAAATTGTCAAACCGCTAAACATAGATAGCGTCCTCTTAACTTTCTACCTTTGTACAATGAATTTGTCCAGGTTTGAATTTTGTACAGTGTGCTCGAATTTCAAGCCTTACAGGGCTGGAAAAAAAGTAATTATCCTTTGGCACTAGTATAGAGGATATATATGTAAAAACACAACGTGCTTATTTTACAGTAAGTATATTTTTCTTAAATAATTTTCTCTGGAATTTTCACCCTCTGTTTACATATTTCTATTTCTTTAAACGGACTGTAGATTCTTTAATATCAGGAAGTTTTCCAGATATAAATTACGGGAGATCGGCTCCACGCCTATTAATTTTGGCGGGGCACGGAGCGAAAATACGATGATTGGGGGCGCGGAGCGATATTAAAGAAATAAAACAGCGGGGCGTGAAGCGAAAACAATAAAACTTCGCCTCGCGACCTACGCTTAATAGCCGGATTCCGCCCCGCAAACTCGCCAAGCGAAAAGTTGAGAATTATCAAGTTAAAATAGCGGGGGAGCGGAGAGAAAACCCGATAAGTAGCAGGGGCGCGGGGAAAATTTAATAGATACCATCCGAAATATAGCGCACTCTCCGCTTATTAGCGTGATTTCGCCCCGAGCATTAACTAGATGATACTAAAGAATCAAATATTTCAAACATAAACTCTTTGAAATCAAAACATTTTTGAGGAACAATAGAAAAGTTTGCTTATTTGTAAATGTTAATAATTATACAGTTTAACTTGTACGTGTATTCATTTTGTTCTCTGCTCTTGAAAATAAACTAAAGTCAAGATAGTTAACATACAGTCGTAGCTGACATTTTCATACCCGAGTTTTGCAAATATCCCGTAACATATTTCAGATGGTATCTATTCGGCCAATGTCTATGAATTGTTTACAGGTTAAGAAAAACTGTAAACAGACAGAAGACAAGATGGCATTGCTTGGTGTTTGTAAAGTCATGCTGGCATCTTTGTTAGGTGAGAAATAAACTAAACTCAAGTGAACATTATCAAAAGGATATTATACATGTGTTGAAAAAATAGAAACTACACTGAAAGGATGATCTAACTAGACCTTTTTTAAATTAAAATTATTCAATAATGGTAAAAGGTATGGACTTTATTATTTGCATTAATTAATTACATGGCCAATGCTTTTTAAAAATCATGAAAATCATCGACCGTGACGATATTCTAATTTGCACGTGCTTTCATGTGTAGTTTTATAATTATGCACGAGATTTTGTGAATTCAGTGGTCAAAATCGATTTTTCTTATCAAATCAGTATTCTATAGCAAAAATCATACCAAAAAAAAACATTTTAGTGATAGAACTGCTGAAATGCCGCGTATGAACAATGCAGAACGCGCTCGCGCAATTGGCATGTTACAGGCTGGATCATCCCGAGTACAGGTATTCATCATTAAAATATTCTGTTCATCTAAATATGGTATTAAATCATTCTTCGTGAAATAATTTATTGTAAATAACAATATTTAATCAAATTATTTTAGCATTTATAGCTTAGAAAATGTACAGATATGATATGAAGTTGCATGACTTCTGTTCTCTCTGCAGGTTGCTCGAATTTTTGGCAGGCATGTCTCTACAATCACCAACCTCTTCACCAAGTTCCAGCGCACAGGTCGTGTTGAAGATGAGCGCAGGCAACCTCGCAGAAAAGTGACAACTCCAGCACAAGATGCACAGATTGTTGCTGATCACCTTAACAACCGTTTTAGAACTGCAGCTTCAACCGCCAGGAAGACGATAGGCACTCATAACAATAACAGATCAATAAGCCAGAAAACGGTACTTAACCGCCTCCGTGATCATGGTATAAGAGCAAGGAGGCCGTTTCGTGGCCTTGTACTTACCGACGTACATCGCCGAAGACGTGAGCAATGGGCCCGCCGTCACCAGAGAATGACTCGTGCTGAATGGGCCAACGTCTTATTCACAGACGAAAGCCGTTTCAACTTGAAAAACAGTGACGGCAGGATGCGCGTCTATAGGCGTCGAGGCGAGCGTTTAAACGACAGCTGCGTTCACGATCGTGACCACTACGGTGGGGGGATCGGTGATGGTTTGGGCTGGGATTTCCTTTCATACTAAGACCAACCTCGTAGTCATCCGTGGTAATCTCAACGCTTTGAAATATCAACAGGAGATTCTGATTCCGGAGGCCATTCCTCACCTGCGTGCCGGTGGGCGAGGTATGGTTCTGATGCAGGATGGGGCGACCCCGCACACAGATGCGACCACGGAGAGGCTTCTACGACAGCAACAAGTGAGAGTTCTTCCATGGCCGTCTTAATCCCCGGACATGAACCCCATTGAGCATTTGTGGGATGAACTTGGCCGCCGTGTTTGGAGCGGACCGAATCCGCCCGCAAATCTTGTTCAGTAAGAGCAGATGCTGATCCAAGAATGGGCCAACATTCCTCAGCAGACTATTTCAAACTATGTTATGTCGATGAGACAACGATGTGCTCACTTACTGAGAGCTAGAGGTGGTCACACCAAATATTAAACCAGAGAGTTTTACCAGGACAGTTAAGTGATATTGTTGAGTGACTTTTCACATTGTTATTTTGCCGCCATTTTGCGACTTTGACTTTTTATAAGACTGTTTTTTTCTGTTAAGTTTGACATTTTATCGAAATGTGATTTAAATAAAATTCTACAGAAGTATGCATCTTATGTGTAGTAATAAATATCCGAAATATAACCTAAATTGATCAATTCATTAAAAAAAATGTAGCTGATTAACCAAAGGTCTAGATAAAACATCCTCTCAGTGTAAATCATATCTCTCATCAGGAATTTCTTCTGAAGTATCAATTGATTTCCAGTATAGCTCTGCGTAATGTGTATCAAATACACACAAAAAAATGTATAAAAGCTATAAGAGGCAGTACGGCCAGTTTTCTTATTTCTGCTAAGATCGTATATATGTTTAATAATGTTAAAAGACAATGGTCATTGTCTTTAAATAATTACAGACTTTCATTACCCTTCTATTAGGTATATGTATATGTTGAATAAACGAAAGACTGGACAAAATATATTTCTTTACTTTCAATAGAATTAGAGAAAAAACATGAACATTCAAACGGAACAAAGTAACTCAGTTTGTATATTTGTATATTAATATAACATTTTCAGGAGCAGTATGCATCAAAGGAGAGTGTGAAAGTCCACCAGTTATCCAAAATGCTTACAACAACTTAACAGATACACAGCCTTGCATACGCAGCATTTGTACAGTTGTTGTTTTGTAAAAGAAATAGGCCCTGATGCTTTAATAAAGGCATTTCTTACAAATCCAATTAGTTCGTGAGGGGATCTGATAATAGCATCTTACATTTTGATAAACATTTTTGTTGCAAATTATGATGTGCATTTTGTATGTTTGACATTGACATAGAATTTGGCTTTGTAATACAATAACCCCTCCCATTTACAACGAAAAGGTGTAAACTCAAAATTGAAAAGCTGCAGTATGAAGTTGTTGATTCATTTTCTGTTTCACATAGAGTCCATATTTAAATTCTGTTTACTTTCATCTTATCGTATATGATAAACAGAAATAACCTACATCATATATCTCTGTTTCATCATTTTCTATCTTATAAAGATGTAATAATTATGTTCTTTTCTTACATCGTAGCGATATCAGTCACCAAAGCAGATTGCGGGGATCCACCAAGTATTCCGAATGCTACTAACAACGTTACTGGTATTTCGCCTTATCAACAAGATACCACCATACGCTATGATTGTGAACTTGGATATAATCCAGTGGGAACCAGCCGCTATTACACTTGTACCGGTACAACATGGACGGACGGAAACTTCCGGTGTGAACAAATTTACTGTTCGCATGTTGAAACACCAGAAAACGGACGATTAGAGAACACGCCAACATACGAAGTTGGTACAATTATTCAATTTGCTTGTAATGAAGGCTATGCGATGGCCGGGCAAAATAAAATGCTATGTCGCATAGATGGGGAGTGGCTACCTTCAACGCCACCGACATGTACCGCAAGGGATTGTGGGGAATTCGGGTCAATACAAGACGCAGATTTATTCCAGGATAACTCTTATATTGAAAGAAATCACTATGGTAGTGTCGTAGAGGTCACGTGCCTTGATGGGACGACTCTCCTAGGACCATCACAAGTTAAATGTCAAGCTAATGGTGAATGGGGGTTGAGGCCAACATGTGAAGACGTGCAGTGTCCACCATACCCAAATACAGACTCGCCGTGTATTTCAGAGTTACAAACGTTTGGTGTTTATCTCTTTATTAATTGTAAAGAAGGTGTAGCTACACATTTTGGACCAAATGCTGCGGAGTGTATATCAGGTCAGTGGGATACCACAGAAATGGGATGCTTATGTGACTGTATAATACCAGAGTATAATTCTAGTACTTTGACTCTAAATGGCCTCAACAGTCATGGTAATCTACCTCATGCCACGGCATTGGAATGGACTTGTCATGGCACTAGCGTCAAATCTTTAATGTTCGTCATGTGTTTGGATGGAAAATTTAATATACAAGATGATCAAGATAATGATATGATATATTCAAATCCATATGATTTTACTCGCATTATTTTGCCTCAGTTATGTAATTTACCACCATTAGTGTCATCATCATCATTATCATCTCAACCATCAACAACGACATCAACAACATCAAAAATCTGGTCAAAACCAGAAACAAAATCCTCACAATCAAAAACACTAAATTCTTCCATGTCGACACAAGTAACACCCTCACCACAATCAATAATGCCGTCATCTACCATGTCAACACCTGTTACAGCCTCATCACAATCAATCACGGCATCATCTACAATATCAACACCTGTAACGGTCTCATCACAATCAATAACGCCATCATCTATCATGTCAATATCTGTAACAGCCTCGTCACAATCAATAACGCAATCACCTACCATGTCAAAACCTGTAACTGCCTCGTCACAATCAATTACGCCATCATCTATCATGTCAACACCTGTAACGGCCTTGTCACAATCAATAAAGCCATCATCTACCATGTCAACACCTGTAACAACCTCATCACGATCAATAACGCAATCACCTACCATGTCAACACCTGTAACGGCCTCGTCACAATCAATAATGCCATCATCTACCATGTCAACACGTGTAACGGTCTCATCCCGATCAATAACGCCACCATCTACCATGTCAACACCTGTAACGGTCTCATCACAATCAATAACGCCATCATCTACCATATCAACACCTGTAACGGTCTCATCACAATCAATAACGCCACCATCTACCATGTCAACACCTGTTACAGCCTCATCACAATCAATAACGCAATCACCTACCATGTCAACACCTATAACAGCCACATCACAATCAATAACGCCATCATCTGCCTTGTCAGCACCTGTAACAACCACGTCACAATCAAAAGCGTCATCATCTACCATGTCAATACCTGTAACGGCCTCGTCACAATCAATAACGTCATCATCTACCATGTCAACACCTATAACAGGCTCATCACAATCAATAACGCAATCATCTACCATGTCAACACCTGTAACAGTCTCATCACAAACAATAACGCCATCATCTACCATGTCAACACCTGTAACGGCCTCATCACAATCAATAACGCCATCTACCATGTCAACACCTGTAACAGACTCATCACAATCAATAACGCCATCATCTACCATGTCAACACCTGTTACAGCCTCATCACAATCAATAACGCCATCGTCTACCTTGTCAACACCTGATACAGCCTCATCACAATCAATAATGCCATCGCCTACCATGTCAACACCTGAAACAGCCTCATCACAATCAATAACGCCATCATCTACCATGTCAACACCTGTTACAGTCTCATCACAATCAATAACGTCATCATCTACCTTGTCAATACCTTTAACAACCTCATCACAATCAATAGCGCCATCATCTACCATGACAATACCTGTAACAACCTCGTCACAATCAATTACGCTATCACAATCAATAACGCCATCGTCTACCTTGTCAATACCTGTAACAGTCTCATCACAATCAATAACGCCATCATCTACCATGTCAATACCTGCAACGACCTCGTCACAATCAATAACGCCATCATCTGCCATGTCAACCCCTGTAACGACCTTGTCACAATCAATAACGCCATCATCTACCATGTCAATACCTGTAACTGTCTCATCACAATCAATAACGCCATCATCTACCATGCAAACACCTGCAACGACCTCGTCAAAATCAACAACGCCATCATCTACCATGTCAACATCGAATACTCTAATACCAGTTACAATATTGACACAATCAACAACACTTCCATCTACCATGTCAACACAAGAAACAGCAACATCACTTTCAACCACACCTTTTACAATATCATCTTCATTTACGTTACCATCACAATCAATTTCATTGTCTTCAACGATTCAATCCTTAAATGAAATATCGTTACGATCAATAACACCGTCTTCGTCCATCTCAATACAAGACACAAAAATTATAAAAGAAATCACATCCTCTTGTACAATGTCATCGTTAGTTACAGTATTGTCAAAATCAGTTACATCATCGTTTTTAATATCACCACAAGTTCCACTAATGTCAAAGATAAAATCATTCTCTTCTAAAACTCTACCGAGCACGATGATAACCACCGTTCCGGTATATTCTGCTTCATCGTCAATATCAACACCGCTTACTGATGCAGCAACAACAACAAGTACTTACGTTGAACAAAACAATACGCTGTTCAATGCGAAAGTTACCGATGCTATGTCACGTGGCCAAATTAATGTAATTGCCTCAACAGACAATGAGTCAAAAGATTATATCAATTCAGGCACGATCAATTTTGACTTTTCCCTCGGCTCAAATATCTGTTGCATTTTCCTGATATTTAATATTCTCTGAATGAAACTTTGATTTTGGGAGCCATAATAACTGTTCATGGTTACATCTCGAGTCGCCACTCACCTCAAGTTTATGCTCCCGTGGACACTTTAAGAAACTCCAAAATTTAGCTTGAGTGACATACAGACAAATCAAACAACTTGCCCCTAATTGCTGTGTATTTGAATCCAGTTAGGGACCTGGATACTTTCTTCTAGCTTAGAGAAGGTCGGATGTTCTACTCCTGAGCCCGCTCATGTCAGACTCACGATAGGCACCTGACGTCATCATCGACCAGTTAAGCTAGAATTTCACCATATGCGACCATTTGTCGGAGTGGCTTGAATCACACACACGCGCTCGCGCGTGTAAGCACGCACACACACACACGCACACGCGCACACGCACACACACGCGCGCGCACGCGCACGCACTTAAACACACACACGCGCACACGCACACACACAATCATATTAGTCGGATATTTTCTTAACATGATTTTAGCAGTATTCAGTCTAAAATACACGAGAAGACGTAAATATCACATATATTTAGTTAATAATGCATTATCTTAGAGTTTGTTATGATGATGCATTTTTTCTTTCATGTGTTCGTCTTTCTTTATACTGTTAAACTAAGATTTCATTTTACATGATGTAGCTCAGATATTTTTATATAAAGGGCGTTGCGGTATTCAATCACATCCTTGTATTAAGCAGTTTATACGAACAAAATCATTTGTACATCTTAAAATTCTACTTATGTAAAGCATGTGGAGTTGTACATATTCGCACTGCAAAAAGTAATTAAACTGTTGCTAAATAACGATCTTAATATTCGTGTTTTTTTTTTTTTTTTTTTTTTTTTTTTTTTTTTTTTTTTTTTTTTTTTTTTTTTTACTTTTTTACTTTTTTTTTAATGTTTCTTTGATTTCACCTGTGCGTGAACTATTAACATTTCAATGTATTGGCGTTTACATTTTGAGTTTGTTAAATTTTTAGAGGTTATGGTTTTCATTGGATTTTCATTAATTTTGTCACACTGTTCATATTTATAATATATTTGATGAGTTTAAATATGGATAAAAGAAAAACATCAAATTTACACTCAAGAGGTCACAGTCATCGACTTTGCTCACATTCGATACAGTCGAACCCTGAATTATTTTGGGTCAAAAACTAGGTCACCAGATCAAATGGGAAAAACTTGCTTGTAAACTAGAAGACACAATTTTGATTTTATCTTCAACAAAGTTTGTCAAAATATTTATATTGATTATACATCAAGTGACATTGAATATGAGTCATCTTTGGCAAAAATGTGTCACCAGGTCAAATAAAAAAGATTCTTGTTAACACATTACAGGCCACATTTTTGATTGAGTTTTATTTTGTCAGAATATTTATCGTAATGATACACAGGTCAGATTGGAATAAAAAATATGGTCGCCTGGTCAAATCAGAGAAAAACCTTATTAACACAATAGGGATCATGATTGATATTAAATACGGGAAGTATGTTAATTGATTAATTTCACAGCGGTTTGTTATGTTGTTTTATTTTGTTGTTGTTGTTTTTTTTTTCATTATTTGATAAACAAATGCTGCATCAATATCGTAAAGACTAACATAGATCAAAGAAAAATTAATCCGGCCTGAAAGTATAGCAAATGATGACAAAATCTAAAAAGATAAGATTTTCAAATAAAAGTATTGAACAATTAAATGGTAATTAAATACATGTAGTATTTTTATATTATTATCTTTATCGATGATTGACGATATTTCATGCCGACTTTGCCAAAATATATGCATCAGTCATCTTTTTTAAATTACAACATTTTAATTTATAATTATAATTGTTAGTTTTTTATGTTCATCAATGTAATATCGTGATTATCAATGGCAACGGGCATATACAATCATTTATAATTCATTTGTGTAACGCATGGTCAACACCACACTTGTTTATTGACCCATATTATGTAATCACTATTAGCGAAGTCCCCATCATTAAATACATGTATCTTAAGATATCTGTTCACTATTATGACACTGATTAAATTTAATTATGCTCAGTCATGTTAATCATGTTGAGCATAATTGTTTTTTTTTTAATACAATAATTGTAATCTCTATTTTAATATGTCTTTTTCTTCATCTTTTATGATTTTTTTTCTTTCTTTTATGTGCTATTTTAATACTGAGTTATTACGTTTATTACTATGTTTATATTATATAAATTTTAAAAATTCAATTGTCATATTGACCGACGATTATGATTTTAAAATTAACTGGAAAAAAGTCAGTAAATTATTAATAATCTTTCAATATAATGTATTCATTATTCATAACCATTTATTTTACTTCAAAAAAAATAAATCAATAAAATGATACATAAAATCTAATTTGTAACGTCTCTTTACTAAACGCAAATAACAAATTAAATAAAAATGTTTCAAAGTTGATTGATTGTGTCATATTAATACCGTAAAAAGATATTACTTATCTTGCAGATATAACTGCCAAGATAACAGATGAAACAATGATACAGATGTTAAAAAATACGAAATAACAAGCTTAACAAAAGCTCTTCGTCGTCGTCATCATCATCATCATCATCATAATCATCATCTCCGTCTTTGTCGTCGTCGT